GGATGAAACATACAGATTTAGTTGAACTCAGCTGGAAGTTATCTGATAGATGAGTTAGGATTCCTTTCCATTCATATATCCTTGGAATCTCCCAAGGCCGACCCCAGCACAAAATAATTACTTTAATCACATGAACTTCTGTATCTTAACATACAGCATATTTTAGTGTTTTATTTAATTTTTCTGCACATTACACATAAATTCTCAATGTTTTATTATCACCTTATTACAAATGTTTTTTTCTGACATAAAATTTCAACTTTTCGTGACTAAAGTTTTTGCCTTTTTCTGTTGAATGTTACATTCTTTGCAAGTCAATGCAGAAGTGCCTTAACCCTGCATTTTTTCCAGGGACCAGCAGGGGGCGACACCTGTGGTAGCAAAAAGAAGTGCTCGTTCATTAGAAGCCATTGGAAAAATGATCCTTTTCCTTCTTTGGGCTATGACCTCAGTAAACATTTGCTGAGTTGTTTGTCTCTGTTTTAAGTCTTTTTTTTTTTTTTTTTTAGAAAGAAAACAATGTATGTTCTACAAATTCTGGCTCCAGTTGGAGTCAAATAGGAGGAATAAAACAGGAAATGCTTTAGAGTGGAGCCACTCTCAGATTAACCAATCGTAACAATATGAATATCTCGTGTCCCTCAGTGTCTTAGTCACGCCCACCTCTACTCATTATGGCCATTCAAAACCTTAAGATTCTGACAAAACAACAAAATGCTCAGCTTGTGGCTCCAAGACAGGACTTGTCTAGCTAGTGGATGACGTCATCATTCTTTCATCTTTTATATACAGTCTATATTATATAAAGGCTGTGGTCTAACATTGGATGACTCACTCTGGTCCTATCACATGCCACATCCTGGATTGCAAATATCCCTTTTTTTGTACATTTTACCCCTATTGTAAAATTACCGTTAAATAAAAACAGACTTTTAATTTTCACATTTTTATGAACAATAACCTTTCTAACATTCTCACATAGCAGCGGAGATCTAGGGAAGGTTTATGTTAATACTTTTAATATTTCATTCCTAATGAGATGTTGTATGTCCTCATAGAAGTATAAAAAAAGCAAATCTTTGTACTGGAGGTTCTGTGGTTGCTCAGACTATTGAAGCTTTATACTATGGGACAGCTGCTGTGGCTCCTGTGTTCCCCCGCTGAGAGGGAGCCTATTTTAACAAGCCAGACCTATTGTCTTTTCCTAAGAATGACCAGAGAATGTGGCAACTCCATGGGTCACATAGTCTTTATTTGAGTGTTGATGATTGGGGTGAGGGGCAGGACGTGGCTATGTCTCTGTCATTCTCATCACCATGGGTGCACATGCCATCAGAGCTAATTACCTGCCTGGAAGGATCAATTAGAACGCCCTCTAATGCCCCCTAACAACAATGCCCCCAACCTCAGCTTTGCAGTAGCGCAGGAAGGCTGTGAGTGGGAAGTGGGGAGAGGCTGATGGTGATAACAACAATGCTTAGTAGTAAACTGTGTAGTGACACAGCTCCCTACCATCAACACACTATCGCAGCAGAAAGCCTGCACATATCCCCTGTTGCAAAAACACCTTTAACCCTTTTGTTCATTCCCGTCAACTGGATATACAAAAGTTACATACAATCCTATTCTTGTTACGGAAATTTGGAAAACAGACCTAAATAAAGTGCTTATGTTCTTCATTTTCATGCATGTTTTATTTCTGGACTAGTTCTCCAGTGTGTCTGACAGATGGCTGCATTTAGATCTAAATACAAATAAATGCTCAATGAACTTTTCCATCATCCAAAACCAATTGTATTACCTCAAACCTTCCGTCTTTCTGATGTCAGTGAAGGACACTAATAGGGTTACTAAGGTGAAATACTGCTCCTAGATCAGAGGATAAATAGATTTGAATGAGGCCACATGAGGCCAAATGTTCCACTTTAGAGAATTAGGCCTTTGGTGCAGTGACAACATGCTACCACCTAATTTCATCCAAAATCACAATGTGACTTTATATTTGTCTCCCAGAAAGAAAAAGTGTTTAATCTCATATACCGTGTATCTCATACAAAGATGTGAAACATGTATGCTTAGGTTCACTTGGACCATCTCCAATCAAGCACAATTTTATTTTCTAATGAATTCTTTATAAATCAGTAAACTTTTGTGCGAAGTGTTGTTTTTATGTCTGTGCTTCAGCAAAAAAATGAACCCTTTAAATTTTGGTATAGATCGCGATCACGTTCTAGAAAACTAAGAAGGGGCATCACTTAAAAAGCAGCATCATCCTTGGTGGAGGATTTGCCAAGTGTCTAAATGCCCTTCTAGTTCTCACCTTCATGTGGTAATTACTAATTAATCACCTCCAATCTGTCCAAAACATCACTCCGAGGCTTTTAACTTACTCTCATAAATTCTCTCATATCACATCAGTTTTAAAGTGCCTGCACTGGCTTCCGGTCAGCTTTAGGTATCAATTTAAAATTATGTTTTTTACTTTTAATGGCTCTCATTTATATTCTTGATCTACCCCACCACTTTTCTTCAAGCTGGATCCTTAGTCCGTAGACCTTTTTGTTATTCTACGTATCTGTCTAAAAACTAAGTGGGACTGTACATTCCAAACCTTAGCGCCAAAATTGTGAAACACTGTAAAACTCTTTTTGGAACTTTGTGGTATTTTTGAAAAACTAGCTTAAAACTCATCTATTCAGACATTTGGATAATGTTTTTGTGTTATTGTACTCATGCTTACGTGTTCTTACGTGTTGATTAAAAAACAAAAAAAAGCTCTGTAAAGCACTTTGTGACTGACTTCTTGTTTTAAAAAGCACTGTACTGTAGCTCTAAGACTTTCATAGTATTGAGATATTGAATCCAGTTAATTTTTGGTTTCTTCTTCTTGAGGAGCACATAGGTTTGTGAATTACATTGGTTATGCCTTACTCTTTAAACAAACATCAGGTTAGTATTTAGTGGCAAAGTTGATGGCTTGGTAACTGGTGAGCATTACAGCAGCAGCATCATATCAATTGTATGCTGCTGGTTGATCTGTTGATTCTAGTCTTCTAATGTGTTTAAGTACAAAGGAAAGCCCACTGATCTGAATTATTTACCTTTCAGGTGGTTTAATAAATGTTCAGTTGCTTTTCACCCGAATTTGTCCGTAACCATTATTTCATTTTGGGGTAACACTGAAATTACAGTGATGAATACCCATGTAAATAATTGTGCAAAGTGGATTATTAGGCACTTTTCAGGAATATCCAACACATAATTATGGACAGTGAAGAAAGGCCATGCTAATAAGATTTAAAACATCAATCAGTCCATCCATTTTCTTAATCAGTTGTCAGTCACATGGGGGCATATCCTGACTGGCACAGGGTGAGCGGTAGGGTACACCGTGAACAGCTTGCCAGTCTGTCACAGGATTTAAAGCAAATTACATAATCATATAAGCAAATAATACATTAAGTCTGGAATCTGTTTTTAACGACTTAATTGCACAGCTAATAAGAAGGTCACATAACTGCAATAAACTGGTAAATACGTTAGAAAGGAAATCTTTTCAAGCAGGAAAGGAAGCAATGACTGAGCCACATTTCTTCTCAGGTATTTGCAAAACAAAAAGAAAACCAAGTGAAATTCAATCACGTAATATAACAAGAGTGACCTTGAGGAAAAACTTTGCTCCTGTTCTCAGTGTTGTATGATAATCTAATGACCGAATGAATCGCTCACACACATAATGAAAAATCCTTCGGTTGATCGATTAAAATCAAATTGAGTTGACCCTCAGGAGGTCAGGAGACCCAAATGTTGCTGTCCTCTATTTGGTTTGACAGCAGCCGTTGTTCCTGGGGGAGGAAGGGAGGACTTCATCTCCCCTTGTGGCTCACTCGAGGGTGACGGTTTGGAAACATCCACTTTGACCCTTGATGTCGGGGCTCGGGGAGTAGACTGTCATTGCCCACCCCCATCCGTCTTCTTAGAGGCTCGTCTCTGGCTGTTTGACCTTTCAGATGAACTCCGGACACTGTCCATGTCAGTCATGTCTTGGCTGAGAACAGAGCCAGGATCAGGCAAGGTTTATGCCCGACATTATTTTCACGGACCGGCCTTAAGGTGTCACGGATAAATACAACAAAATAAAACTAGTATCGGTACCGAAAAAAAGATTTATTCATAACACACGTGAAAAGACCCAGGAAAACAGAGTTAACGATAAAAACGATAACAAAAATAGCGCTGAAAACCAATAAAAACCCTGAAAACCATACATTTCACACCTGAGCCTCAACTCTCGCGGCCCGGTACCAAACGACTCACGGACCGGTACCGGTCCGAGGCCCGGGGGTTGGGGACCGCTGCCTTAAAGTATAGGGACACAGTATATAATATAGGTCCATAACCTGCATACTCTATCTACCTACAAACTACATATAACATCTTAAAGGTTTCTTTTATTTCAGGACAAACACTATCATTTGAAATGTGGGACAAAACTTTCTAAATATCTTGATTTTTTTTTACTGAACAAAGGCAACAGCTACCAGAGCACCATATATTTCAGACCCATAGTGACCTCCGAAGTCTAACCAAAGTACAGCAGTTGCAGAGGAAGATGCATTTTGATGCCTTATTTGTAGAGCTTTCTTTAGCACATTTAAGCTTGCAGTTCAGCTGTTTTGCAAAAGTCAGTTTTTACCCTATGTCCTTTGCAATGCTTGAGAAATATGTTTAAGAATTAGAAATACTGACCATTTCAAAGACTTATTGAATCATTTGAGGTCATGGAAATTTTAAATTAAGCTTAATGAAGATGGATTATTCTCAGTGGTGTCTACTCACCTGCAATCTAATTTCACATTTTAATTTGTATTATTGATCATAGCACGTGTCACATGTTTCAGCCAATTTAACAGACACCCTGTTTTATTCTTTACTGTGATCCATTTTCAAACAAAGAAAATTGGGTGAAAATGTGGCACAAAATACTCGCACAGCCATTATAATGCAAAGCATGTTTATTTTACAGTTACTGCTGTCTAATAAAAAGGCCTGGAAAGAGAGTATGTGCTTATAATCATTTCAGTATAAACAAAATGAAGCGATACTGATATTTACATGTGGGAGGTTCAGTAAAAACTTCCAACAGGTGATGGGTAATGTCCACCATCTAGAGGCAACTCTGGGAACTGCACCACACCAATAATAGGGTTTTATGCTTTAAACTACAGTGACCATAATCGTGCAGTCAGTAATGCTGGGTTGTTGTTGTTTTGTTTTTTTTAAAGAGTTGGGATTTCAATGTTTGCAAATCCTTTTGCCTCCCAACATAGCTTTCATTTGAGCCAATTCATCTTTTTATTTTTTTGCCCATATTGGGACATTAAAGTCTGCAGAAACAGAACAGATTTGTACAGTGAGAACTGTTTGTGTGTACAGCAAAAAGCAAAACAGCACATCTTTCAAACACCAGAAGAAACAGACTAAGACTCTGTACATTATACTTATTCTTTGATTTGTAAAAGAATTTAAGTTTTTAGTTTTTCCCCTCTATACTGTACAACAGAGTTTAATTACAAACAACTAGAATCAAAATGTGATCCTGGACTCATTCCTGGTCTCAACATAATAACACTTCATAAATCTCTCTGACAGTCTTTGTCAGCAGGTTCTTGGCGGGAGTGAACGAAGCCACAATGTCTTCAATCTGTTGAATCCTAGCAATACACAAAAATGTAAAAATTTAATGTTATACTTGAAGATAATATATTATTCCTTTGACACGGTTACCTTCAATAGTAATATGCTCCGTAAAACAACGTAATTTCTGTCAGTATTCATTAAATAAACAATAGGTTTTTTAAATCTAAATTTCTTGATTTATATTAAAATTTTACTTACGTTGTGCTTCCAATTAAGTTTTTAAAGCTCTCTACTTGCAGGACACAGAAGTGGTTGATGAGAGAGATGCCAAAGACTACCTCAAATTTGGAAAATTTCTTCAGAGTGCTGAAGACAATGCGCACTCTGGAAGAATAATTGAATGTTATACACCTCAGTATTGCAAAATGCAAAACTGCATGCAGATGTGAATGATTTTTTTGGATCAAAAAGTGGAATATTTGTTATTTCTGTGAAGCACTGTAGTTCTTACTTTGTGTCCATGCAGCTGATGTCGAGTATATCCAGCCGTAGCCCTCCCCACAGTTTCAGGAGACGCAGTTCCTCTCCCAGAAGACGACAGCGACTCACCACCAGGCTGACATCATGGAGCAGCTGGGAACAACAGCAGGCAAAATACGTTACCACAGACTGTATAAACAATAAACATACATCTTCTGGGTCTCATCACTTAAGCTAAAACAGAGTAATTTAAACTGGCATTTGTTTTAATGGCCACCAGGGGCGATCACTGCAGATGCAACAAAAGTATGCGAGAAACAGCCCACAGGCCTGATCTAATTAAACACAGGCACTTTTCTCTAGTGCTTTATCACACGCATTCACATTGGGAGCAACTCGGGGTTAAGTATCTGACCTATTTTACATGAGCCTGTTTCTGTCCTTTGTATGCATCTGGTGTTTATTTACACTTACCTTTGGTACTTGTCTTCTTGTTGGGTATTTCTTTACCCAGCAACTTTCACCTTCAATGTACTCGGAGACCAATTTGTGAACAAGGCGTGCATGGCACTGCGACTTCTCATCTGGTAGGAAACATAATTGCTTTCAGTACATATTCTTCATAGTAAGTGCAATTAAAGGTAGCCAAAGGCCATTAATTTAGCATGGCAGGTAGGATGAAAAGAATAACCATCTAATAACCATCCATCACAGAATGCTTCTTGTACTTATTTTCTTACCATCGAGTTCCAGTTTAAAAGTGATGTGTGTTATTTTCTGCTCAGTGTCGGCATCATTACCTTCAAAAGCAGAAAAACAAAGTTATTAGAGTGTGCCTTAAAAAAAAAAACCCAAACCAACAGAATTAAGCAAAATCTAAATTTTAATATTGTTCAAGGTTTGCGCAAACACTACTGACTGAGGTGCAACCATGAGTACAAGATATTCACAACTGTTAGAAACTGCTTTAAACTGTATGAGAAAACATGAAAAAAAGAAATACCATTGGCCTTTTCAAACACCAGCTGCAGATGCATGGTCTCATGGAGGAAAGTGAAGACTCTGCAGTTGTCCCTCATTTCTCTGAGCTTCCATTCATTCATCCTGATGTAAACAATGTACAAAACCAGTTTTGCGTTATCATATTTGTTTACAGGACTGGTCTAAAGCTGTAAAAAATGTTTCTGGTACTGACATATTCAGAAGGCCCATATGAATCTCCAGGTTCCTCGTTTCAGCTCGAAGCCTTTTGACTTTACTTGAATTCTGCTTCTTCTGCATCTCTAGTTCAGATATTTGTCTTTAGCAGGAACAAAGAAAACAAAGAAGAAATAAACGAGACCGCTCAAAACTGGTAATTCTCAACATTCACTGCATAATTCAACGAAGAAAAAAAAAAAAAAAAAAAAAAAAAGGATAGTTAATTTTAACCGACCTCTCATTATCAGCCGTCGTCTCAGTGACTCTCTTCATTTCTGTTAAACAAAATGAACCAGTAAAAGCACTTAGGACTTATTCAATTAAACTGACGTAAAATAAAAAACAAATAGATGAAACTGTATTAAGTTACCTTCCTGCAGCGACTTCAGACTTGGTTTGTCTTCAAACCCTTTTTCTTCAACTGCAGCAAATTCTAAATGAAGGAGAATATGTTAGGCTAGAGCAACACATCCAACCTACTTGTGCCCCCAGAGAAAGGTTTGCTAACAGGTCATCATCTTCCATCAAAACTACTGACAACTTTGGAAATGTGCCAGCAACAAAAGCAATCACATAGAGATTTGCGGTGCAGCACCATCTTTGCGATCGATTTCATCTAGCAACAGCCAAACGATAGAGAAATACATATGTTAGTGACTGAAACATTAGTTAATATCTACAAAACGAGCAAACTCTGTGGTATATCACAAACAGGAAAGTCATGTTTTCAAAGTAGCTATACCTGTTTCTAATTCACAAATACAGTCATCCAGAGTTTTTATCATCTCATCTGCTTCCTGAATTCTTCCTCTTAACTTCTGCTGCTCCTCCTGGAAACAAAACCAAAACAAAAAACAAACCCCAAAACAAAACAATGTCAATTTCATTTTGCATTCAAAGAAGTCCCCAATTTTGCATTTTAGTGTTTTTTTCTAAATGTGTGGAAGTTCTTACCAGATTCGCCTGCAAAAGATTTGAGTACAGAACCTCCTTCAGTTCATGTGACTGAACTTTGCTTGTTTTTCTGAAGAAGTTATTTCTCTCCTTTAGTTTAGCACCGAAAGATTTCAGCTGTTGATTCAAACAAACGCCGCATTGGGTGAATTGTGGGAACAGATGCCAAATTCATGTCACACACAAGCGCACAGCAAAGGCCAATAGCTAAATAAAGTTAAATAAAATGCATTGCAATTAAAAAAATATACACTGTAAATTACTTAATGTTCATCCTGCCCAAATAAATGTAAACATATCACATAAAAAAAAAAACTTTGACTAATACCTCTTTATCTGAAGCATATCTCATGTCCTCCCACAACGATCTATTGACAGTATTAAGAGGTTTGTTTAGATCCTGCATTCGCACCTTCAGCCTAGAAAGAACAAAACAGACATGTTTTTAAACTTCAATTGTAACGTATGAGATTAAACATAAAAAGAATTGTACAATTTCTAATGAGTTATAATTGTGTTTGTAAGCTACACCCAGTTTTTCCTTGTGATTTTGTCAGTTTACAGCGATACAGCGCAATTCATCTAAACCAGTGGTCCCCAACCCCCGGGCCACGGACCGGTACCAGTCCGTGAGTCGTTTAGTACCGGGCTGTGAGTGTTGAGACTCAGGTGTGAATTTTATGGTTTTCAGGGTTTTTAACGTTAATTTTTAAATTGTTTTTATGGTTACACTCAGTTTCTCTGGGTCTTACCCCGTGTGTTATGAATAAATTTTCTTTTTTTGGTACCGGTACTGGTTTTATTTTGTTGTATTTATCCAGGACACCTTAAAGGCCGGTCCGTGAAAATATTGTCAAACATGGTGCAAAAAAGGTTGGGGACCGCTGATCTAAACCACAAGTTTAGATGAATAAATGTATTTAACTACTTAATGTTTTCAGCATATTTCTGTAGGTTTAATCATGTGTACAGTATATGTTATAAAACTTGAAGTGCACATACCCTTCAACCTTTTCGTTGAGGTTAAAGACATCCGTCTCATAAACCATCTGTTTAGGACGACTGATATGTTGGTCTTTCAGTAAATCCATTGGTGAGGCCTCTGTGTCTGACAAAAACTGAAAAAACAACAAAAAGAAGTCACTATAACATAATATTTTTTTTGTGTATATATAATGGGGAAGTAATTTTTAACACAGAAGATTGACCTACTCTGCCAGGAAGGACACTCTCCCGAGGATTATGGATGACAAAGTCAATGCCGAAGAGTTTAAAGAACTCCAAGACCGTTATGGTGCCATCTTTGAGTTTCTGTAATCAAGGCATCGAATGCAGTCAAATATGAGGCAAGTGCACATTTTCAGATTTCAAATAAATCAGTTTTTAAAAATAAAACTTCTTACCATCTGCACATCAACAGCACTGTCTTCAAGCTGAGATTCAAACAAGCTGTGTTTAAAAGCTAAAAAACAAAACCAAAAGAAAACAAAGATATTTAATAATAATAGTGTAAAAGGAAACATTATTTCAATCAGGAATACAAGATCTTAATGATGCCCATCAACGTCAAAGATAAGAACTTACTTGACTCAGATGCAGTTTCACATTTGATGCTGGCTGTGTGATTGCTGGAGGAATCTATTGTCTGTGTAGTCGTACGAGCTGTAGTAATATTACTGTCACACTCTATGACCTCTGACTGCAATGCACAAGAAGAAACAAAACACATGGGATAAAAGAAACCATATTAAAGGTAAATTACGTAAAACAGAGAAAGCTGACCTACCACTTCAACAGTCACACAGGATGTTTTCATTCTCTTTTGATCCTCCACATTAGTTTTATCTTCTGGCAGAAGTCTCTTTTGTCCATGAACAGGGCTAATGACATCTTCTTCAAACACAGTGTTCTCTAAAGGCTCGACCATGTTGAACTCTTGACTTTTCTGAGGACTCCTAGTGTCCAGTGCTTCTGACATATCTTCATAACTACCCAGCTCTTCATCATAAATATCACTAACATCATCATCAAAGTTGTTCAGCTCCTTGGCAACGTTGACGGTGATCGCCTTTGTATGGTCTCCTGAAGATTTCACTCTCTTTGACTCATCAGGTTTGCATTTTTGGGGCAGTTTCGGCTTAAAGCCTCCCAGTGAGATTCTTGACATAAGCTGTTTGGTCTTTGAGCTGAAAGGAGTTGTAGTAATAGCATCACTGGGATGCTCTGCTTCTATAAAACACTGAGCTCGTGCATTGTCTTCAGTGTTTACCAATTCCATTTCAGCTTCTGGTTCTGCCATAGTGACAGGTAACGTTTTATCTTTTGAGTTTTTCCCCAGGTCTTGTTCCAAATGATGCAAAGGTGCAGTGCAGTTATCAGTTACGACTGCACTGGGAGCTGCACTTATCATGTGACTCAAACGCCTTACTTTTGACTGAATATCAGCTAAACTGATTCGTCTAGACTTTCGTGAGCACAATGCATCCACATCCTTTCCAGGAACCTTGGGTGAACTTTCCATATCCTGTGATATCAGACAAGCTGTAGTTCTTGGTTCAGGTTCTTCTGTGTTCTCCCTTTCATTTGAGTTAAGAGAATCTGGCACATTCATAATTTCCTGGTCATCAGGATTGGATAACCCCAAATCACCACTCCTCTGTGATGCAATCCCAGTTTGCCGCAAATGGTCTGAATTGGGATCTTGTGTGGAGGACAGGCGCTGAAGGGGGTCATCTGTGCACGTCTGACCCAAAATGCATCCTGTTTGAGCTTCAGTCATATCCATGCTCAAATTGATTTCTGTACAGTCCATCATGGTTGTACTTACTGGCTTCTTTATGAAAGATGAAACCAAACCTGGAGCTTCACTTTCAGTATTCATAGCAGGTTTCTGTGTTTTAAGCTGTATCAGTATGTCCCTTGGGTATGTAGCTTTTTGAGGGGATGGTATATCATTGTCCTGTGATTTAATATCAGTCCATGGGTCACTTGTGTTTGACAAGTTTTTAAATTCTTGATATAAATTATGTGCTGATGAAGATATGTTTCCACGCAGACCACAGGCTTCACTATTTGATTTCTCTACTTTAAAAGAAAAACCCTGGATTTCCTGGATGGGCAGAACCTTTTGCAATGGTAGAACCAGGTATGGTGCAGAAACACTTGGAATACTTTCAGTGAGGCACTCTGTCATATCCATTGCTCCATCATTTGCATTGAACCTCCCCGTTTTTTCTTCGGAGGTAGGTGGAAAATCCACATTTTGATGTAACTTCTTGTCAAAATCAGTGGCAATCTTTACAGTGTGACTTCGTGTCATATCCATCGCTGCATCATCTGTACTGAACCTCACAGTTTTTTCTACATTGAGAGGTAAACTGTGATCTGACAGCAACTTTACATCGGTGGCAATGTTCACCGTGTGACTTTGTGTCACATCCATGGCAGCATCATCTGTACCGAACCTCACAGTTTTTTCTCCAAGAGGAGGTAAAAGGTCTGAATTGTGATCTGACTGCAGGTTAAGGTTGGTGGCAATGTTCACCGTGTGACTTTGTGTCACATCCATGGCAGCATCATCTGTACCGAACCTCACAGTTTTTTCTCCAAGAGGAGGTAAAAGGTCTGAATTGTGATCTGACTGCAGGTTTAGGTTGGTGGCAATGTTCACCGTGTGACTTCGTGTCACATCCATGGCAGCATCATCTGTACCGAACCTCACAGTTTTTTCTCCAAGAGGAGGTAAAAGGTCTGAATTGTGATCTGACTGCAGGTTTAGGTTGGTGGCAATGTTCACCGTGTGACTTCGTGTCACCTCCATGGCAGCATCATCTGTACCAAACCTCACAGTTTTTTCTCCAAGAGGAGGTAAAAGGTCTGAATTGTGATCTGACTGCAGGTTTAGGTTGGTGGCAATGTTCACCGTGTGACTTCGTGTCACCTCCATGGCAGCATCATGTATACTGAACCTCACAGTTTTTTCTCCATTAGCAGGTAAGAGGCCTGTGTCTTGGTGAGACTGCAGTTCTAAATCACTGACAATGTTCATTGTGAGACTTTGTGTAACTTCCATAAGGGCATCATTAACAGGAACCACTGTCTTCTCTTTGCAGTCATTGTCCACATCAAGCTTAACCTGAGAAAGACAGTATAGCAGAGCACATGTGTTCATGAAGATATGTTTCCACACAGACCAGAGGCCTCACTATTTGATTGACTTTTTATGACATCTCAGGTTTGTAGTAAAATTAAAATGTCTTACTGAAACCATATAAACTTGATAAAAATAAAACAAATGCCTTTAATGTAAAGCAAATATTGACCAAAATGACCTTGTCTCTTTAAATTTATTTGATCCTTTGTTAAAACAAAGGCATTATTTGGTGCAGATACCTGAATAAAACTAACCACAAAAAGATCAAGACATGTTTATGCTCACCTGCTGTCTTTGCACCTTTGTGTTTCCAGAAGTCTTCAGGAAGTTTTCTTTACCTTAAGGTGGACATGGTAAAACTGAGTGAGAAACAGCTACCTGACCATAACTTCAATATATAATAATTATTAAAACTTAACTGAGGCACTCTGTACATTTTCTATGTAAAAAAAACAAAACAAACAAAAAAGCCCAATAACTTTGCCGTTTTCATACCTTTACAGCTTGATAATCCAGTTGCTTTACTGTTCTGCCAGTCAGCTTTTCTGACATTACCACTTTGGGCGTGTATGCTTTGCGTGGGAAAATGATCCTGAAGACGGGCATCTGTAGCTGTGCCTGCATCCCCTTCCAAAATGTAGCCAGTTTGAGCTTCAGTCATGTCCATGCTTATGTCTGCTTTGGGACATACTGCATTTCCATTAGAATTCATTTTAGTAATCATAGGATTAATGCTGGAGGAAGCTGTAAGGTTTTTTGACCCTGGATCCAAACTATGTGCTGACAAAGATGTGTTCCTAGGCAGATCACATATTTGACGGTCTTGTTTCTTCTCAGAATTTACTGAATTGGATGCTGAATTACTGGCAGTGTTGGTAGTGAGGCCATAATTCTTATCCATAATACCGTCATCTGGAGTGAATCTTAAAGTTTTCTCTTTAGCAGGTAAAAAGTCAAAATTTTGGTCAGACTGTACTTGCAACTGGTGGATATTTACAGTGTGACTTCGTGTCACATCCATACAGGCATCATCTGCAGAAAATCTCACTGTTTTCTCGCTGTAGTTGTTCTCAATGTCAGGTTTGTTCTGTGGATGGGAAAGGAAATACTTTGAGTATACAGCAAAATATCAACCTTGATTTGGCAATATGTTCTATCTTCCAGACCAGCTAGAACAAGTATTGCGTTGAAAAATAAAAGAGGAAAATATTTAATCTCACCTGATTTTTTAGTGCCTTTGAAGATGAAGCTTCAATGCCTAAATGTGGAAATGGGTAATAAATAAATAGATTAGCTAAAGAAACCAGAACACTGCAAAACTAGTGAAATCATTAATTAACTGGTTGAAAATAAATAAATAAATAAATAAATAAAGGAGAATCTGTTTTGGAAAATAAATTTCAGGAAATTAAATACAAAAGCATTCACATGACCTGAAACGAAGATTTAAAGTTTCTGTCATTTCCTTTTTTTATTCTTAAGCTCTGGTAGAGTAACTTTGTATGGATTACAGTTCAGTTTTGCTTTTCCCCCCTCTCTTACAATAGGTCTTGGTTCAGCAATTAAATTCATCTACTGTCTGAAATTGTGTTTAAGCTCCTCCTCACTTTAGATTACCCTTTTCCCCCCTCTCAGAAACAACAGGGTTCGAACAGCACCTTACCTTTATGGTTAGATGATTTGAGTGCTTCACTTATCCGCTGTCCTGAAGTACCATCTGCTTTCTTGAGACAGTGGGTGTACATGTCTTGTGGTGGAAAAAGAAACTGAAAAGGATCGTCCTGCACACCTTCCAAAACGTGGCCAGTTTGAGCTTCTGTCATATCCATGCTTAGTTCAGGACAGATGATAACGGCTTTAAAAGGCTCTCTAACATTTTGAGTGGTATTTAGTGGCAAGTTTTCTTTATCAATATCTGCTGATTTTTCCTCTGGAACCAAGGGACCACAGGCGATGTTTACTGTGTGACACCCAGTCATGTCCATAAACTCGTCATCTGCAGCAAACACTACTGTCTTCTCTCTGCATTCGTTTTTCGCATCAGAGCTCACCTGAAGAACAGAACACAAACAATTACTACATGCCAACCAAAACTTTACTTTGAAATAACAATTATTAGCATTCAAAGACAACATTTTAAATCTATACTATGTTACGAGCAACTAAAGACAAAACCTCCCATGCATGACTTGCTTATACGTTCTATTTCATCTAAAAGCAAAGTTTAAAAAAAAGAAATGCCAAACTTACCTTATGTCTTTGATGAGGAGCAGGTACGAGAGGATTTATCAAGGACACTTTATCTGATAATTAAAAGTGAAATGAAATTAAGGCCATTTGAAATTCCATTCAATTAGCATTAAAACTGATGAAGCATAAAATTCATACAATGCATACAGGGATAATTTCCTTGCTCTAGTATTAGACTTTCATAAAGTTGTGAGCCTAGACGACAAGATATTTATGAAAAATGGTCTACATTAAAGGAACCGTGGCAGAACACAAATTTGTCGTCTCTGCTTGGCATCCCATATTTTCTTCTTATCACTTATAAGCTGATGTATAAATGCTGAAGAGTTGTCCTTTAATTTGAGTGACAGACATAAATGTGATACCTTTTGGGTTGGTTAATCCTGATGCTTTACTGCTCTGCTGCCGTTTCATCTGTGAGTGGGTGTACATGTCTTGAGTAGGAAAAAGACACTGGAAAGGATTATCGTCATCATCACAGACTCCCAGGATGCGACCTGTCTGGGCTTCAGTCATATCCATGCTCACATCATCTTCTGGACAGAGTGCACTCCTGTAGGAGGATTCTCCAGTTTTCCTGGTGTTATGTGGTGTCTTCTCCATCACAGCAGAAACGGACACTGGAACTTGATTTTCTTTATCCAAATTAGGCCTTTGTGTTTTAATCTGGACCAGGGAGCCTTTTGTTTCTTCAGAGGATGCTTCAGCAGGAAGAGTCATCGTTATGTTTACAGCATTAGTGCTCTGGCCACTTGGTTTAGACAGACTTGCAAGGAAGTTTTCAAATCCAGGATCCAAACATGACAATGATGTGCTTACATCGACATTTCTGCCTGTGGATAGTGGTGGGACTGTGGCTTTATCATTTATCAAGCAATTTTCTCCAAGAACTGGGAAAATGTCATACTTGTGAAGGGGTATATCTTCAGGTATGTCTGCAGCAATATTTATAGTGTGGCTTTGGGTCATGTCCATGGCTGCATCTTCTGTGGAAAACATCATTGTTTTTTCCCCAAAGTCATCTCCAGTGGCCTAATAAAGGTAAACAACCTTTGGTCAGTTAATGGGAACAACAAATGTTAAGTTAAAATACTTCTGCTATTATTAAGCATTATAATAATGTAATAAATGCAAATATCGACTTCAAATTTACCTTATCCTTTTGTTGGGAAACATGTAGAGGAGCATTCAAAAGAGTTTCCATACCTACATTTGGAGACCTGAATTTAGTAACAGCAATCTCTATAACTATCTAACAGATAATGTGGACAGTACATTGAAAACAATGATCCTACCAATTATTTCACTCCCATCTTCAGTGACTCCCTCTTGTACCCTTGTACAAAAAAATCCAAAGCATTTATGTGAGAGATTTATTTGACTCTTTGTGATAAGACTTGAAATTCACATGACAGGCTGGACCTTAATATCTCATTTCACCTTACCTATTTTGTGTGGTTGTTGCTCCTGCTGTAGAATAACATACAATATAATTATAAAAATTACAAAAAGTTTTAAAAATTACATTCTTATACATAATACTACATTACATACTTGCTGTTATTATTTCTTGCAAAGGGCTTCGGACAGGGGAGGCATTTTTGACATCCCTATAAAGAGAGAAGCGCTGATTAGGTCAACTTGTGGTTAGGTACTTTTTGTAAAAGGAGCATTTCTTCGTGTCTCACTTAGAAAACAGAAGGACGTCATTAGCAGGGGCAAAACTGACTCGTCTTGAATTCCTCTTTTCCACTGGTTTGACACGTTCCACCTAAGAGGAAAAAGGCTAAATTATATCACCACTTTTTAATTTTTAAACCTTAAGGGTGTCTACTGCCACAGGCAGTTGGAAATCTTATATCAGACTCTCTGTTTACCACATTTTCTTGCTGATCTTGGTCAGGGAACCTGGCTGATTTCCGTGGTGCTTTTAAAATCTGGAAATTACAAGGTGCAAACAGTTTAGTTCATTTGTACAGAAATAAATAAAATCACACCTCTGATTAAGATACTTACCGAGGAAAGGCGGCGCCTTGAAAATCCACTGCCTTCACTGTAACACAAAGCATGAACAATAAAACTATTACATAAATATCACAATACATTTGTTAACATAAGGTGTAAAGTAGGAATGCCTCGATATCAATGTCCTTTTTATTTAATACAGTAATTTCGCACTCACTTATTTTTTGGAGGATCCAGAGGCTCCATCGTCAACTGTACGAATATAAAATAATGCTTTATATAGAAATCATTGTTTCTGCAGTGTCTTCCTGAAACCCAAAATGTTGCTTAAGAAGCATTTTTAATTTGTCCTGGGTATTTGGGATTAGCAGACATGATAAGTGTAAAAATGAAGCATTATCTTTGGACACAAAAACAATTGTTTCTAAAGTAGTGGCAATGGTTTTATTTGACAATAATTACAATAAATTCACCACTGTTTAACAAAGTTTAAAAGACTTTATTAAGCAGAATGAAATGCTGGGGTAAGACCTTATGAGCTGTACATGAACAAATGCCAACAAACAGTTATTGCTGCTAAGGTGGTTCTGGAAGCTCCTGAATCTCGGTGTGTAGTTGCACAGAGTCCTGTGCAAACTTTCTTTTTCACATGACCGTAAGTTACAACCTTGATTTTAAAAAAATTTGAAAACTTAAAGTTACTACGCCACACCTGTCAGGTGTGCAAAAGTAACGCCACTGTTCTCCAGCAGCCATGAAATGGGAAACCACCACTACACTGTCATTCAATTTACCAAGACCTTATGAACAAATGCAGCTCGATAAATACTGCTAATGTAACTTATTTGAAATAATAAACAAAGCTAGGCAGCGTTCTGCATTTCCCCTTGTAAAAATCATATTTTAAATAGACAAACCGATAACCACTAACTCTGACGTTACTATTAGCTTCCCATTCACGTAATCAAACAAGAAAACAACCGAACACCAAAGAAGCATTACGGCGCTTACCTTGCTATTGTTGATTGTGATGTTGCGGCGTTCTAAGACAAATACGTTTTTTATTATTACTTCTTAACTAACTTGAAACCATTTTCAAGTCGTTTATCTTCAACCACATTGCATACGATACGTAACAATTTTGAAGCTAATGTGAACAAGTCTCGATGCTAACGTCTTGAGTTTTGAATTTAGCCGCCTTCACGCGTGCGCACTGAGGTCCGTCTGTAGCTTAATTTTTATTTAGATAACTGGAGTGTAGTTAACAACAGCCTGTCAATTAAAATGTTAAAACTGATAACTCAGTTTAATTAAAAAAAATCTTTTGAGGAACACAATTACTGAAAATTTATTTTATTTACACAGGAAATAACGTTAAAACCGGAAATGGTCGCAGAGGGCGGGACGTTTTTAAAAATTGTCAACTGGTATTTGTCTGTTGAGAATTCAGCTTGCATACTTAGTGTCCTTAAAGGTAAGCATTGATATTGTGCTAATTACCTAGATCACATTCAGTAAGCGACTATTATTTAAGTACTGCTTTTTTGATTTGTTGAGTATTGAAGAAACTACGACCGATATCTATTTTTCCATAGAGGTCGGTCGTTTTAACAGAGTTTTATGTGTCAAGCTCCCCTAGAGGGATCTCAGTGAGGCTGCGGTGAAGAAATAAATAAACTTAAATAAAACGCATCGATTTTTGAATTATCTGGTCAGTTTGTCAGACTTCTGATTTAAGTAGTTTAACATGACTGATATCCAGATAGTTTAGAGTTTTATGTAGTCTTTGCTGTCTCCATCAGGGATTGGGGAACTCCAGGCCTCAAGGACCGGTGTCCTGCAGGTTTTGGATGTGTCCTTGATCCAATACATCTGATTCAAATAGCTAAATTACCTCCTCAATATGACTTGAAGTTTTCCAGAGGCCTGGTAATGAAGTAATCATTTGATTCAGTTTGGTACGGAAGCTGCTCTGCCAGCAGCCGTAAATCACTACAGAGGGTGGTGAAGGCAGCAGAGCAGATCACTGGCATGAGGCTTCCTGCCATTCAGGACATTTATCTCCAGCGATGCCTCCGTAAAGCACACAACATCATCAAGGACCACAGCCACCCAGCACATCAGCTGTTCTCCTTGTAACCATCTGGCAGACGTTACAGGAGCCTGTCTGCTCGGACTACAAGACTTAAAAACAGTTTTTTACCACCAAGCCATACGACACCTCAACCACAACACTTAAACACACACAACACAGCACTCAGAAGCTACCCTGCAGCTTCACAAGTACTCTGTTAATCTGCACTGGTCACTCCACTTTATTGTTATTGATATTTATATTTAAAAGTGCAACACTGTAATTTTCTGCTGCTCATTCCTCCCGTCATATTTCTTTTCAAGATTTTCTTATTTAATCACTAGTGTACATATATTTATAGATGCATATATATTAAGATAAGATAAGATAAGATAACCTTTATTAGTCCCACACGTGGGAAATTTTTTTCTCTTTTACCATGTCTCTCTAATATTTTGCTCCTTACTATTTTTCTATTTTATTTTATTTTATTATATTTTCTCCCACTGTATCATGCTGCTGAGTGACTGCTGCTCATAAAACACATTTCATTGCAATGTTGATCCTGTGCTAACTTGCATATGACAAATAAAACTGAAACTGATTCAGGTGTGTTGACCCAGGGTGATATCAAAAACCTGCAGGACACTGGTCCTTGAGACCTGGAGTTCCCCACTCCTGGTCTACATTCATTGAAAGTTTATTGTTACATACCTCAGTCGCAAGATTTTAGAGTAGCCTGAATGCGAAACAAACCCAACAACAACCTCTTACAGCAGTTAATTTTATTTTACTGTTATACAACATCTTAGTGAAAAAAAGAAATGAAAACACCCAGGATACAAATACGGTCTTACTGTCTTGTGTTGTTTTTCCCATGCAGGTGCCTTTTATTATTGCTGACATTATACTTTTTAGGAACAGTCATGTCTTCAAAAATTCCAAGAGGTGAGGTGAATTTGAACTTTTCTAGTTATTTCAATGGATTACTTTAATTTTGTTAACAACTGTCATTCTTCCAGGTATACACCCATCTACAGAAACAAAGAAAAACAGTCATAAACAAGAATCCAAAGACACAGCAACTGCACCCACAACAAGCACTGTTGCCCAGAGACCAGATGGTGTCCTTAAACCACATAAAGAAAATGCACCAAGGTAACAAATTATGACCAGGTAGAATGGTCACAGTTGTATGAGAACAATAAAGGTTACCAAGTGCATGCATCTCAATGTTTCCCTAGTGATGTTAGGAGTCAACTGTGGTAACAAAACTGTGCCTGATAATTTCCTGGCTTACCTATTCAGCATCATGTAGTGTAAAGACTATCAAACGTTTGCTAGTAAGCCTAAATGTGTATATTCTCTTAGTACATGCCAGACTTTAGATCTGCTGAATTCTAATTTTGTTTCACTTTTTTGTCTTTTAGGAAAAATGTTGCTCCTAAAGTTCAGAAGGCGTGAGTCTTTCATAATCATTAACATGGGTATTGTTTAAGCCTGTTGGTTTTTGCTTTTTTTCCTAACAACTTTGATGCACATTTTCATAGAGTCTTCACTAGATATGGACAACAAGCAGAGCTCAAAGAGCAAAATCAATGTTTGATTGCTGCCAATGAGGAGCTGGCGAAAAACCTCACAGACACACAGGTATAGAAAGTAATCGCTACCACACATGACTGCCCACTGATGTTTGTGGGCTTTTGGTTTATGCACAGCTCTCTTAAGGTTCCACCATACCATTCAAATCAGGTTGAAGTTGAACTTTTGACTGCTTTGAACAATCTTTTCTTTTTTAGCCATTCTGTTGTAGATGCTGTAGATACTGCTATGCTTTGGATTGTTGTCCTGTTGTATGAACCAGTTTATGCTTCTTTTTTTTCTTTTCTTCAAAATTGTGCTGTCATGAGCTTTATCGTTTAAAATATGATTATTTCAGGCCTACAGAATCTAAGGTGTAGCCCTTGTTTTGATTAGGTTTTGTTTTTGGCACTTAACTGAGCACTAAAACTGGTGCTCGGTTAAGTGCATTTATTAGCAGCACCTGGCTGCTACTTACTCTCTTAATTCCTATTCTTTTCTTTATGCATCTGTCCTCTTTAACATTATCTGGTACAAGTTTATAGGAGAAAATGCAAAAGGGCTACTTCATGGATGGATCTGACACAAAAGACACCAAAAACCCAAGCGGAATAAATGCCATGTTTGGTATCAGCCACAGCTGAACAGCCCTTCTGTGTTATCTTTTTACCATATTCTATTTAATTCTGAATTCATTTTCCTATTACAGCAAAGAGTAGCTAAGCTGGAGCTGCAGTGCTGTGACCTTCAAAAAGAGAATGCAGAGGTTCAGAAAAACCTGAAAGACTGCCATGCTCTTCTGATTACTGCCAAAATAGACCCAGGTAGAAAAAATACAAAAATATATTTATCAGTTTCAGTTTCTTCAGTGGTTTCTGTAAGAGACTTAACAGAAATACATCTTTCATTCTTAGTATTGGGCGAAAGAGTTGGAGACACTGCACGGCAGAATGAAAGTCAGAGGAAAGAGGTTATGGTATGTTTATTTGATTTCACTTTACATTATGATATGTTTACACTTGGGTTTTATTCGTTAAACATTTAAGCAAACTTTAAATCATATTCACGCAAATAACCGCAAGCTGGAATATAAAGGAACACCAGAAGCATGCACTTATTAGTTTGTTTCATGCAAAAATAAATGTGCAAATAAAGAACAAATATTATAAATGCACCCAATATACATGTATTGTAGACACCCACAGGATTTATATAATCATTTACAGAAACACCAGGTTAAAATATTTACTCCTTGTATTTCAGAGCATCTCTGCAGACCTGCTGAATGAAATAAAGGCCTTTGGTGATATTGCGTCACAGCAACGTGCTCGACTAGAGGTGAGTAAAACTCTGCTCAGTGAAAGTAACAGGTCACTAAAAGTTACGTTTTATTTATTATTTTTAATTATTTTTACAACCTTTAGGAAATCCAGGAAACGATGAGAGGCCTCAAGGAGGCACGAGAACAAATGGTTCAAGAAAGGGAGAACTTTTCCTCTGAAACAGCTGAACTGGAAAGAGCTCTCAAAGAAGCGGAAGCTCTTCTACTCTGAACATTTTCATTGATTTCTTAATTTAAATTGTGTCCATTTTAAAGAGTAAACGTGTATATATATTTGCAGATATGTATTTCTATGGCAGTGTGAGTGAAACTGAATAAAGAACCATTTCCACACGTTCCACATTCCTTCTTATGTCAGTGTACAAAATTTAATGTCACCCAATTTGTGTTTTTGTTTTGTTTTTTAAGAGGGACTGGCACTTGTATAGAGGCAGTGTGTCTCTTATTCACCCGTTCACACATCAGAAGCAGCAGTTCAAGGCACTCACCTGCTACCAAGTGCAACCTGAGGTACATCCTTTGCCAGGAGATATGGCCAGTTAGTAGTCATGGCTATTATAGTCTTTAGTACTTGACTAGAGCTATAAAACTATTAACAGTTTAAAATGGCTAAAAGAAGGACAAAAGTTTATTATATTCTATTGATTTTTCTCAAACTATCAAAGTTCATTGCTTCCAAGACAAATTAAGACCTTTAACAGTAAAGCCATTTTCTAACATGTATTTACAATATCAACAAACCTAACTGGGACTCTGTGTGTTATTAACCATTAGAGTGTTTTACAGCAGTTTACACTTAACGGTACGGGTCTTCAGTCTCAGTGTGTCTGTTTCTTCAGCTCAGCCAGTTCGAGTAGGGGTTTGTAAAGCTGCTTAGACTGGTTTTATCAGTGATGTTACTGACGCTGCTTGACTTCTCATCAGAGGCTGGAGGTAACATGCGGGAGGTTTTGTAGTAGTAGACGAACAGGAAAAAACCTGGCAAGCAGAGAGACATGGTCAGTAGTGTATAGAGAAAAGGCAATTTGCATGAAGAATATGAAATATTTTTGTTCTTTCAAATAAATATGCACAGTTTTTAATATTAAAAACTGAATTTAATCAATAAAAACATCAAGTGTTATCCTGTGAGTGTTATTATGCAACACGGTTGACTTAGAATGATTGAAAGGTGCTTGCTGGTTGTCAGTACCTTGGAAAGAATTGAGGATGGTGAAAAGGTAGAGCGCGGGG